CATTAAGACTTAGAGAATAAAGAGAGAGTTTAAAGGGGTTTAACTTGGAGTTGTCATCAATGTAGGTGGTTGGAGGGTTTGGTCAATGGGATAATTTACTCCCTATAGTAAATATTAGAGCTAAATTCTGAAAGTCATTTACAAATTGGAACCCTTTTGGGGCTCTAGGGAGCTTATGTGGTTGTGAATAAAATTAATTAAAAAGACTGTTGCCCTTCTTAATAGGTGATTCAGCTTCCGTAAGTGAAATAGGCTTGACCAATAAATAAGCAGGTGAAATAGTGAGAGGAGGCTGAGTACCTAGTTGTTGAACAAAGAAAGGCAACATGGAACCCAGTTGACCCTGTTCTAACGGCTCTTCTACAGCATTTTGAGGAGCAACGATTCCTTACATTGTGCTTGGAGACGATGAACCTAGGCAAACTTTCCGTCTTTTCCTCTCAATTGAGCTTGAATGAGTTGTCGAGCCTGACCTTGTGCACCAATTAGTAGCAAATTTCCTCTTTGGTTGATTCTTGATGTGTTGTTTCATTATTTCTTTCCATTCAGCCAACCTGTTTATTTGGCTTTGCATAGTAGGGATGACCACTGGATTGATTTCCTTCAGGCCACGCCTAGCTCTGATTGTCATATGTGTATTTGGTTGGAGGGAGTTCGAGATTGGCCTCTTGTTAGGACTTTGATCTAAATGCTCCAACTTTTCCTTTTTGTTTGAGGTACCTTCCCCAATCCGCAATTCCCCTGTTTCAGCAGGGTGAGCTCTCTTGCTGAAACAAAGACTTGGACTTGGGTCTTGAATTGGACCTTGACCCCCCCCCCCCTCCACTAGAAGGACTTTCAGAAGAGGATGAACTTGAACTATGCTGAGAGTTCTGCTTAGCATTGTTGTTAGAGGGGGGATGCCCACTTGTATTTTCACTACCAGAAGAGATGTGATAAGGAGTGTGCTATATATGATGAAACAGAGTTTGGAGAGGGGTGAGGATACACTCTGAGGTTGACTCGAGTAATTATGAATCTCTCCACATCTTCTAGTCCCATGACTTTCTTCGAGTACAAAGGAGTTTGTGTTCTGGCTAGCAGAAGGTCATAATTTAGCCTACAGAGACCCTTTATCCTATAGCCGACCTCCCTGTGAGCTAGCTGAATTTGGGACTTGCAATATGGTTGTCTATGTCCAATTTTTCCACATCCATGGCAGAAGATAAAAACTCCATTATGAGAAAGGTCCACACCGCCCCGGCAGAAGAGACTTCATAAAAGACTCCTGGGATCAGTGGTTTGCTTACATCAATCAACACCTTTGCCCGTAGCATACTATGCGGTCTATCATCCATAGAAGGCTAGTCTAATTTGATTATTCTTCCCAGTCTTTCCAACGCTCTTCTAGCAACTTGTGGCTGACATTCTTGAGTAGGAAGGCCTTCCACTCTAATCCATATAGATGACTCAGAGAAGTCCATGTCTAAGAGGTTTGAATCCATTGTCCAGCCTTTAAAAATTATCATTGTTCCCTTACAGAAAGTTGTTCCTAGAGACATAAGATTGACCCTATCTTCCCATGAGGTGCAGAATAGGAAAAAGAGATCTTTGGAGTGGTTGACTTTTTGAACTTTGATATGAGTGTTGGTTTTCAGAACATGTCCACCCAATTTTGGAGTTGGACTTCAGAGAACACTCTTATCATCTAAGACCTTTGCTACAACTGCAAGGTTGTATTTATCTACTCAAAATAGGGGGATGGCTGCGTTGATTCATACTAAAGAGGGCTGAATCGGAGGGAAGGATAAGTAATAGTAGAGAAGAGAAGAAAAGAAGAAGAGAAGGGGTGAATAAGGTATACGCTTCTCCAGTAGAAAGCTAGAGAGAAAAGACACTCTCAACTTTTAGAGAGAGAAGGTATGGAGGCATTTCTCTACACTGTCATAAGGAGTGACGCTTAGCCCAGCAAAGTGCTGGACCAGCACACCAATTTTATCAATATTAAATGTTATTGGTGGGCCCTTATTTTGTATTGGTGTGTATTTTGTACGTATGAATTTGTACGCCCATATTTATACATTTTTGGCGCGTTTTCCAAGACCGTTACAACGATTGGTCCGTTATTATGCAAATGAGGTTGAATAACATGACATTTATGATAACATGACAGAGGGTTAACAGAGGGTTTGTCTGATGATGACATGACATTTATGATAACATGACATTTATCATGTATTGTCGTGTTGACATATACACTGTCATATTGCAATATGTTTTTTTTTTTTATATATAGACATAGTTATCTTATTTATTTATATTGTCATATTAACATATATATTGTAATGTTGACATATACATTGTCATAATGCAATGGGGTTTGGGGTTTAGGGTTAACATGGGGTTTCAGGTTTGGGGGATTGCGTTTTGGGGTATTAGCAACGAGGTAGAACTATATTGTCATTGAGTTTGGTGTTAATGTCATACCTTTATTTCTTAATGTTGATATTGACATCAAGAACATAAAGTGTTGTTGGCATTTATTTATCATATTTTCATTAATAAAAGAATATTATTTTAACTATAATTAGGATAAGTTGAGTCTCATTTAAGGTTGTTAAATGCATTTCATTTTATATTAGGATTGGTAATTGAGTTCAATTCCAATAAGGATTGTATATATGATTTAACTTTCAATTACATTGTTTTGAAGGAATTGTATCTTCGATAAGCGCAATTACTAGATATATCAAGGATCACTATTATGGAGATAATAAGTTCGTTCTTTTGGGTCGTCATTGTTTGGTGCTAGATATGACAAATGATCTTTGGGCTAGTTAAAAAGTCCAAATCCCAATAGAATGGATCCTATGAGGTCACACAACAAGGGTATTGGGTTAAACAATTAAGAGACCCATTAATGGGCCTCATGAGATTATGACATACCATGTAGAGTGTTGAGCTAGAGTAGTGTATTTGGGATAAGGTGTTTAGGCTTGACATGGACTCTTATTTAGAGATGTGAGTTATAAATAAGATCCGTGCCTAGGGCTGAATAGAACAATCAACAAACAGTAGATTGTGAAACAAACAACCAAGTCCCAAAACCCTAAACACTCTCCTCACCTCACGACCCCTCCCTCTCCCCTCGTCCGTACGTCCGGCGCCCCCTCGTGGTGGCTCGTGGTGTTCGTCGTGGTGGTTCGTGGTTAGCTCGTGTCTCTCTTCTTCGTCGAAGGCTGATTGCAGCGTTCAATCACGACTAACTAGCATTAGTGGAGGTTTAATTTGTGCCCGTGGACCAAGTAGAGGAATCACATTTGGGGTTCTTTATCTCCCATTGTTCTTGCTTGATTGCACATGGAATCACGCTTTAAAGGTACAATTATATGTTCTTTATGTGTTATATATGCATTAGATCTTGGGATTAGGTACTGTATAAATATGATTCATGTTTTCCCTCAACTAGTACCTATAAACTCCTACATGTTTGACTATAATGAGGAATGTTAATAGTGTTTAAATTGAATTTCAAAGGATTCAATTTGAGTTTCAATTACATTGTTAATAGTTTTTAACTATAATTAGGATTGTTAAAGAATGTTAATCGACATTTGAATATCAAAGGATTCAATTTGGATAAAGGGGCCTTCAAAGGATTAAATTAGGATTAAAGGCTTCTTCAAAGGATTCAATTAGGATTAAGGGTCTCTTCTCTTCAGCTTAAGTTAAGTTCAGTTCAGGTCCAATTAGCTTTTAGTTTAGTTCTCATTTCCTAATTTCCTTCTCTCATAAACAATTCCATAAACAATTCATTAGGATTTGATTTGAGTTGAACTCAATTGAACTGAACTGAACTTGTTAGGAATTGAGTTGACTTGAACTTATTAGACTTTGTTAAATGTAATTGATTCTAAGCATTCCATTAGGGTAACAAAGTCATATCCAATTACCAATCCTAATTGAGTAACAAACCATTTAACAATCCTATTTGAATATTAATTAAAAGAAAAGTCCATGTAACAATAATTCACTTCAAAAGTTGTTAGCGATTCTAGTATAATTGTAACAGTTATTTTCATAAGTGAATAAATTGTTGTCAATTGAATGTAAATTACTGTCATTGTCAGATTAGTTTACCGTCGTTACATTTATTTAGTTGTAAATTACTGTTGTTAGCAAACCTTTTAAAAAATTTGATTATGCATTTTCTCAATAATTAGTTGTATCATAATCCTATCATGTTTCTTAATTTGCTGAGTTGTCCCACTGCTTAGTATTTTGGGCTCTATCAGCTGAATAGCTAAATCCATGTAGTTGATCAAGAATAAAGGTAATTGGTTCTTTATGTCGTGAAATGATTGTGATTGGTCCATTTTGGAAGGTTTGGATTGATGACATGGATGATTGGTTCCTTTATCATATTTATTGGCTGTTTGTGATTGGGGTATTCTGGGATGTTTAGATTGATGACATGGACTATTGGGTCGTTGTCTATTTTGGGAGGTTTGGATTGATGACATGGACTATTAGGTATAAGGTTTAGGACATAGGGAAATGGTAGACATAGTTAAATTTTATTGTTATGTAAACATTTAAATTATCATATTTCAATATGTTATTGTCATATTTTGCTTCTATTTGTCTTATGAAAATAGAGATCAGTTATTGTTATCTGTCATGTAAACATTTATATTGTCAGGTATTTTGGTGTTATTGTCCTACGTATATTCCTTTGAAACCCACCCATCCTTGATTTCGACTACCTTAGGCCATCCACACAACCAAAAAACCCATCTTCAAAACCCACCCGTCATCGAAAACCCAGAAAACGGCTGGGTGGTCGAAAAGAAGAAAAATGAAAAAGGGAAGAAAGAAGGGCAGCAAGTTGATGGGAGGGGGAACGGGCAAGAATTTGGTGGTAGAGCAAGGCCATTAATGGTGGCTTAGAAGAGGAAGCATTGAGGAGAGAGAATAAAGCGGGAAATCAAATTAAATTAGGGAAGATGACCAACGGAATATACATAATGAAACGAGTAGATAATTCTCTTATAGTTGTATAAATATATGTATGAACAATGTCAATACAACCACAATACTTTCATTTAATGTGAAAATGACCTCCTTACCCCTGTGTTGGTCCAGCACTGTGTTGGGTGGAGCCGACCTCCTGTCATAAGTGTCATATGTTGCATTATGAGGTACGAACTTACGATCTTATGATTGCAATTTTACCACAACACAAATTAACAATGGGTACTGAGGTCAAAGTAAAACAAAGTTTTCATTATGATCATGCAACATTCAATGTAAAACGAGAGATACCTTGAAGAAAGGAGGAGGAGGAGGAGGAGGGGGGGGGGGGGGGGGGTTGGGCATGACTGAGATCACTTTTTACCCAACTGCCAAGATCAGTGTCTCTACCATGTGCGTTAAAACACCACTCAACAATCATGTTGGTCAAACGTCTGCCGTACATGGGGATTATAACGACGGCAATCGGGCGCCTAGGTCCTCTTAGTAAGAGATGCTACATTACAAGACTGGGAATGTCCCCCTACTAACAATAGGGAACATGGGAAGAAAGATGAACAAAAACAGCACAGAACAGTCAATGTCATATTGCAGATGTCTCTGCGTATTCCTTGGCCTTCTTAATAACATACTGAGCCCGGTTTTCATCACCAAGTGACTTCTCATATTTGTGATACTTCTTGAACAAGAACTGCAATAAAATATAAGAGATAAAGAAAACAATGAGCAAAGATCACACAAAAGTACACGGACATTAAAGAAAGAAGATGACTGAACCTTCATCTTCTTTGCAGGAAGGCTCAAACTCGTTGCTCTTTCAAACAATGCACGTATAATGTCAACGTCACCCAATCGAATTTCCTGTACAATGAAAATGCAAAGAACGTTAGTTGTAAAGTTGAGTGTGAAAGAAATGTTATAAAACTAGAAAAGGTTAGCAATTATTACCTGATCAAGATAAACACTCCACAGGTCTCTTCTCTTTGGGTATTCACGCAACATTTTCTCAAATATAGAGCGGGCTTTATCAGGAACCCCAATCTTGAACTGAAGGATAGCAACTTGTGAAAGAAATTGTATATGTTCATGCTTTGGGAGAGATAGAAGAGCACGATTCATCATCTTATCAACTTCTTCTGGATTTTGCTTCAAAAACCATTGAATTCGCCTCAGCCATACCTAAATATCAGAGTCAACATTTGAACCAAATTATCCTCCTGTTTTGGGAACATAAATATAAAGGAGGTAATAATATAGAGAAGATGGGTGTGAGTGTTGGTGGTTGAGGAAGGGGTAAAGGAATAGTTACCCACCATTTCCAGTGTAATACGTCACCCACTCACTCCCAAGATAAGGGCAATAATACCCCTACCATCACACCACTATCACCTTCCCTCTTCTATTCAATTTATCTAATCAACCCTTTCATTCCCTCTAAACCCATTAAACAAGGCAAGCGAAAATTAAAGACATACCTCGCATGACTGTTTAAACTTTTTAACCATTTTGTCAAGAAGCTCATTAGCCAATTTATGCTGCTCTGTCCTTTCATACAATCCTAATAGCTCCAAATGCAATTTTAGGTGATCACAGAACTGCAGTGCTCTTTGAAATAGTCTCACTACTGCCTCCTGAGAGGCCATCAGAGTTAGAAGGCATGAATAATGAAGGGACAAAGATAAATAGAAAATCAAAAAATCATGAAAATAAGTACCTCGGAGGATTCCCATACTGATTTTCCAGATTAAGGTATGCGACCCAAACGTTCAGCTTCTCTGTTTCACAAGTGATTTTGATTGTTTTCAAGGCCCTATAAACATGAGACATATGGTCTATCAATCAGAAGGTATTATAGATAAAACAATAACTGCACTGGAATTAAAGCATCATTAATTTAAGCCATGAAAATCAGAGATATTTATCACCTTTCAGCCACAGAACGGGCTCCCTCAACATCAGCCATAGAAAGCATAAATTGCATGTATTTTATCCAGACGAAGCTGCTGTTTGGAGAGCTTCTAACTGCTTTCTCAAACTCATCGCTAGTTCTAGGAATATCAACCTCAAGCAAACGTTGTTCAGCAGCCCTGATTTGTTGTTCCTTCTCTTCCTTTGCTTTTTTCTTAGCCTGCCTGTTGCTCTTTTCATCAATAGCATTGGAACCATTAGCAATTGTTTCCTTGTTGTCTAGTTGGTCAAACATCTCATCATCCTCCATGTCATCAAGAGTAACCTCTAGAGGAGGCACAGATGCCCTTGATTCCACTTGGATAAGAGCTGATTCATCTTCAAGTTCAAATGTAGAATCAGAATATTCAACTTGAGGCATGTCAACCTTGGCATTTACCAGAGTTATAGAGTTATCAACTGAATCAACATCCATTTCATTATTTCCATGGTCTTCATCTTCAAAATATGAAGACTTCATTCCAAGTGATATGCGGTGTCTTTCCACATCCACTTTTAAAACTTTTGCAGTTACCCTCTCTCCTGCTTTAAATTGGTCGTCAAGATCATCAACATGATCATCAGAAATCTCTGACACGTGACATAATCCAACCAAGTTTACATTATCAATAACAATAAAGAGACCAAATGACTCAACCCGTTTGATCCTGCCCCTTACAACATCACCAACATTCAGACTACCAAAATTACTCAACTCGGATCTGCTATTCTTATTATCCGCCTTCAGAGTAACTTCAACACGCTTTGATAAAGGTTCCACAGATAGAATTTTCCCCTTTACAAGTTTACCAACAGGAAATTCTTTTACAGGATCCTCAACATATCCATCAGACAAGTTAGAAACCTTGATCATTGCATCTATATTCCTGGAAAGCAAAATGAAGCAGCCCTTTGGAGTAACACTCTTAACATAACCATTCACCACCATATCAGGCTGAAGGTCTCCAATCTTCTGAATACAATTGCTACGAGAGTCTCCATTTATAGTATCCTCAAAGATGCGAAATGATAAATCAATATGGACAGAACTGTTAGCTAAGTAGTTGATTTCTAAGACTTTACATTTAACAAATTGACCTTCATTATAGCCAGACAAGGGATCAGATACCGGGGGATCAGCAAGTTCAGTGTAGTGAACTTTACCATATATATGGGGTCCTATCTGCACAAGAATGCCACCGACACCAGGAAGAATCTTCCACACTCTACCACCAAGAACATCTCCATTGTGAATATGACACACTTCCTTCTCATCTGATGCAGAACTTTCTAATCCATTGGAGATAGCAGAAAATGAACGCATGACTAAACGCAGAGACTTCCATTCACGGTTCATACTCAATATGTACCCAGAGAGAGCAGCCCCCAACCTGAAACGTTTCTGAAAATTCTCAAGGTCACTAGGTTCACATGCACTGTCGAGAATAAATAGCTTAGCCTTCACTTGTCGAGAGACTGCTAACCAGACCCACTCTTTATCAACTTTATAGACATAGCCACTGACATGCTGTCCTACAGTGAAGTTGAAATCCTCAGCCATTTGCATCTTCTCAATCTCAGTAGAGCCTGAACACAGTATTAAAATGAAACTTTAGGAAGGGTGAAAAGCAGAGGATGAACACGGTAGTACATATTTAATAACAAGCAACATACACAAATCATTGGAAAATAATTGAATGCCTTTCTACATCCCATTAGAGAATACATTATTCTATTTTGTGCTGAAAAACTTATTACACCCATTCCTTGAAACAACATATTGTTAGTCTTAGTCCACAGTATTTGATACTTACTACCTCCGTTAATTATTATGTGCAACTTTGGGGTATTATTTGTGAGATATAAAATATTCCAAAGTTGCACATAATAAATTAACGGAGGTAGTATTTAATGGATGTGCTAGTGGCTAATGAAAATTAAACTGCACCTCTACATCTAACAATAGGACATAAGTTCTCTTCACAATTATCAAATTAAATTAAGTTCAGATTTGGTAGAAAATGAAGAAAAGTTAATTTAAGCACAATGAGGAGATAGTGCCAGCTCACCTGACAGAATTGATGGTTTGAGAGACAGTTCCCATGGGCTGCCTTTTTTGTTGTTCACTGGCTTCACACTATTCGCAACAATCCTGGCAGTCAATGTCTGCCCCACTTTATACGCAGAAAAGGGATCTTCCACACCAATCTCATCATTTACCTCCGCAATGTGAACTCTACCACGAAATCCCATCCCAAACTTTAACCACATCTCAAGAGGTTTAATATCTGTAATCTCTGCATGGACCAGAGAGCCAATATCATAGCCAGACCTCTTCTTAGCCTTCTTCGAAATTGAAGTCTCCAAAGACCCATTACAGGATTCAAGAAGCAGAAGTAATCTCCCAGCTGTTAAATCACTTGGAAGTGCCATGATAGTTGCAACAACTGTTTCCCCAGTGGAGAACTGCTTCCGTCGTAACCTTTGCATATTATAATCAGTTACCGCTGCATATCCAACAGAATAATTATGTTCTGGTAAAGAAAGTACCAAGTAATCCTCTTTTACTACTTCAACTACAGCTTTTACTGTTTCATGCAATTTGAATTCCTTGGATTCTCTTTTCCGTTTCTTCTTAGCTACAGTAGCTGCACAAGCATTTCTTTCAGATTTCTCAACAAATTCTGGCTTCAAAGTCAGGTCAACTAGGCGTTCTGACTTAGAAACATCAAGAACTACAGCTCTTACAGTGGAGCCAGTTTCTAGAGTCTTCCCACCCATTTGATGCTGCGAAATAAAACCAAAAACATCACTATACTTCTCAAAGCTGATAACAACCCCAAAATCCTTTGCTTCATTGATTCTACCCTCAACTACAGATCCCACATTCAAATTTTGTGGCCAATCCAACTCAGAGCTATTTAAATTAGACACTTGAAGTGCAGCAATTTTCTCCTCCGTTGAGAAATATGATTGGAGGAAGGAAGTATCAGTAGATGAGCAATGGGACTGCTTCAGTGACAATGTTAAGCGATCACTTTCATTGTTAAATTCAAGAATATTGCAGCGTACAGACTGCCCAACAAAAAAGGCTTCAGAAAGATTAGTGTTTCTGTCATCTAGTGCCTTTTTCCTTGGGGAGAAGCCGGTCAGACGACCAAGAAATCGGACAAAACATCCAGTTTCAATTAAGTTACATACATATCCATTGATCACAGAGTTCAGAGTAATTTGTGAAGTATCAGCAGGAAGATGTGGTATAGCATGAATAAGAGAATATTTTGCACTAAGTATTAAATTGTGTCCTTCAATATCTAGAACCAGCAACTGAGAAAGTTCATGCCCAGGCTTCAAGACTGACTTCAGCTGCACAGACTGCCTCTGATGGTCAGCTAAATGTTCAATATATACTGTTCCTTTCATGTTTCCTTTTACATTTACATGTAAATATATGGCATTGGGCATGACAAGCTCAACCACTCCGGATACCACGCTACCCAACTTGACTGCGTCATCCTCCGAAACCTTTGTAGGTGAAATGATAAAGCTAAGATTGATACGATGTGAAGCATGACATGAACTTGTTACTCTGCATTTAACTACTTGCCCGACATGGTAACTTGCGGTTGTGTCACATCTTGGCTCTAGACCAAGCTCAGATCTGTAATAAGAACAAATACTTAATTACTGATCAGTGAAACTCAAGTACGAATAAAAATTAGCATAGTTGAAACCTATCCATCAAACAGACATCACCTACAAGTTCATGGAAGCAAAAAAAAAAAAGAAAAAAAAAACATCAGCACCATTGAGATGCACATATAGAGAAAACAGGAGCAATGAGATCGATCTAGATCAAAGACGATAAAGATAAGAATAATCTTATCAGCGAGAAAAGAAGAGCTATGCTCATAGAGGATGAGTTAGCGTACTATAACAGTGTATAAAAGGTAAATGGAAGACAAGAAAATGATCAAGCTTATTATGATCTTAAAATCCAAAGACTGAGCATTTGATACTTTTACTTTTATTTTTGCCTCAATACTAGCCATATTTGTCAATATATGATCAACAGAATATTTTAATAAAGATTTCATGACTATTATTTTAATTAGCAATGTCAATATATATAGAGCATGATGACATGATCCAGAAGCTTGGACAGTCCAAGCAGGTCTGCACATTGAGTAATATCCCTTTATTTCTAGAAGCTTTGTCAAAATAAAATTGAAGGATCATCCCCCAAATTAACAAATGATAATATAAAGAATAACCAGAAAACCCTAGCATCAGCAAAGGTTAGAACAAACAGGTACAATCAATCAATAGGTAAACAGGGGAGCTGTTTTCGTAAATGAATGTACAAATTTGGAGAAATTATAAGTTACAGGGCACTCAATAATTGACATGATTCAATAAAAGATATGACAGACTACTCAAAGAAGAGCAATGTCATGTCTCAATTATCAATAACCTGTTAACAAATGGATTAGCAATGACATGTAATATCTCTATCACCGATAACCTGTTTACAAATGGATCGGGCATCCTTCACGAAGAAGGGTCTTATTCAATTACAAAATTCAAGGGCAATTTAAGACAGATAATAATGTCGGCATTCCATTCGCCATTAGAATGTTATCAAGAGTAAAAACCGAATCCAATCAGCAAATACTTCATATTACTTCTGTACACCACCAACCATAACATTTAATGTGACAGAAATAAGCAAAGTAATCGCATTTTAACAAGAACATAGCTGAAATTTACACAAAATCAAGAACATAGAATGAGATCATATCATTAAAATAAAATAAAATGAAAAAACTATTACCTAGGGGCAAATCCGTGTACTCCATTGTAAAATCGGACAAAGCATCCAAGCAAATCAATCTTCGAAATCCATCCATGGGTCACTAATCCTTCGGTTGCATCAGTATAAGAACTAAGAATGCTAAGCTTTGATTTCACCTGAAGCAAGCCAAGCTTAACATAAGACACGAAAGGGACAGGAGAAGCAGAGGGGGGAAAAAAAACCAGCAGAACAGTGAAAGAGTTGTATAAAGCTAGGGATATTTAAAAAAAATAATAAAAAAAAAAATAAAAAAAACATATTATGATAGATTTGGTTATAATATGTTTAAAAAGTGTACACATATGTATGTTCAAGAGCATTCCGTGATGTAAAGATTGCAAATTTAACTTGTATAAAATGTCGAGTAACGAGTGATCTAAAATCACATCACTGCAAACTTTGCACTACCTATACTACCGTACTGTCTGTTAGAATGAGTTATTAGAATCCCCAAGCATGGTAATACAAGCAAATTTACATAACAGAAAAGATTTTCCTCAGACTTACATCACTTAAAATAATTCAAAACTTGCTATTCCTTAGCAATTAAAAAAAGAAACGGTTGAAAAAAAGTCATTGTAAAATTGACATTTTTTTAGCAACACTCCCTCTTCTCTTTACAAATAAAAAGACACACATAAGGCAAAATGACAATTAGATATATGGAAAACAGACTCATATATCTAATTTTCAGCTTGCAAAATTAAGCTTCCAAGAATGGCAAGAACCACAGTTATGATGGCAACCAATGGTGCCATGCTGCCATCTTCACACTAGAAATTGCAAAAATATTTATATAATAATTAGACCTTCAAAAGGAAAAAGAAGGAACTCACAAGTGTTTTCTTATGAGTAAGCGTTATTCTCTTTGACTTGCAACCAAGAACACGAAAGACTAGCTCCGCCCCAACCTGCACAACATCAATAACATTTGAAAAATAAATAAATAAAATTCGGAAAAAAATATTTCAAAGGGTAGATACTACTTTATTCTTTTCAATGGCAACAAAAAATTTTGGATTTCTCTATCTTCTCCTTATCACATAGGGCTCATTGATTTGTGCGCCCATTACAATTTACACTCCCACCCCCCAATGTAAAGCATATCAAAGACAACCGAGGGCCCTTATATAACAAAATTAAATAAATATTGGATAACAAATTTCAAGAAATATCATTTTAGCCTAAAAAAGAAACCACCACTCTGTTCCATGCAGATTCCCAACTAGAGATGATGCCCTCAAATACCCTTTCCTAGATATTCACAACACTAAAAGGGCAGCCGCATCTCATCATATGATTTCCTTTATGAACTATTGCACCAGTTAGGGCGCAAATACCCCATGAGAGATCTGGAGAACTGGAGTAAACCTAGTTGATCCAGCACAATGAATACAGCCTGTTCCAAGAAAAAGGATGCTTAAAAAATACAGCTCCCAGAATCTGCATTGCCAAGAGGTCCAACTGTCCCATACCCAAGCCACATACATGGATAAAATATATTAATCATCATGCTCCCCCTTATATTACTAAACATGATCTACAACATACTTTGGAAAATTATGTTCACACCATTAATTAATTGACATGTTACTTTAGCAGTATATAATTTCACTACCATGTGACAGAAAATTGTACTTTATTAAAGTCATATTGGATAAAGGAAAATATGCAGCATTCCAAGGCCTAAGCATTGTTTTAATCCGTTGAAAGTATATCATAGAGCACAATGGATAACACCTTAAATTTTTTGCGAGGCTTGTCAATATCATATTCAGACATATGTGGTAGAGGACAATGTGCCTTGACACCACTGGGAAATTGCACAAAAGCACCCGAACTGTTGACGGCAATAACTTTAGCCTTCACTACCATCCCAGGCTTAACATCTGCGTGAGTAAAGACTGCACCTTCAAATGCACTAGCCTGCTCAGAAAGAAGGAAAACGGAAAAAGTTAAATCAAATTATTCTTGGGGAGACATAACAACCACACAATAGCAGATATATTATACGGAATATGCCAAATATTTCCCAATATTAAGGGAAAATCTTGGTCCCAATCTCCAGGGACGATAAACTCAGCTAGCAATATTGTGAGAGTACAACTATTCATCATAAATTCTGCAAAACACTATGAAGTTTTAGAAATGCCAATAAGTCACTGTGGTCATATGATGGTGCCAAATTAACTTTCAGCATTTTTATTCCCCTCACTTTGCAGCAACCTTTTTTTCACTTTCTTCTGTCTAACCCAGTTATCAGCTTTTCTTTGTTATTTCCGAATTCCCAAATTTTTGCATTCCTGTTTTCTTTCTATCACATACTTTTCACTCATTCGGTTTATCAGGTGTGTGACACAGAACAATCATTGTTCAGAAGTTTAACTCATCATTAGTGGTTTTCACCCAGTTTTCTGCTTTTCTTTGTTAGTTTCCAATCCCCAATTTTTGGCAATCCTTTTTTCTTTCTATTAATCTATTATATATTCTTCACTCATTCATTTGGTTTATCAAGTATATGACAAAGATCAATCATTCTTAGTCATCATCAGTGGTTATTTTCTATATATTTTAAGGTTATCTAATACTTCCTCCATTTTCTTAAAAGCAAATTGCACCATTTAGTGCTTCTTTGGTTTACATAAAAAACATAGTAAGTGAGAGTTCCTAGGAAATGCAAAATAGGTGAGTTGTTTGGTTGTGAAATTTGGTGAAATGGGGAAAGTGGAACTTCCTAGGAATATGTAAGAATCTACTTACCTAGACCCCACAATATGTAGTAGTTTACTTACCTAGACTCCCCTAGGTAAGTAGAAATTTCTACGGGAAGTTACTTTCCCTGGTACTAATCAAACAATTTTATAAATTTCCAATAAATTTGATTATGGAATATAATTCCCATAAATCATAAATTCGTGCTTCCTATGTTAACCAAACCAACTTGCCAAAAAGGTTATTAATGTAAAGATCCAACACCATTCATATTCTAGGCATATATTAGACATGCATATCTGCTTATTTTTCCAAACTTCGTAGAAGACATGTATGATTCCCATCACCATGCATGACAAGAAATAACAGACGCAAGATAAAACATAAAACACCTCTAGAGATGCTTGATTAAAGGAGCTAAAAGTACCATCTTGATTGACAATTAATTGCTCATAATATCAGTGGAGGTGAGAGTGTGGTCATAAGTTGTCTTTCAGCACAATTGTAATACTTTCAGTGTTAAAACACCGTATTATTAAGACATCACACGAAGATGAAATGTTTTCAATTGGTTATTTAGCTAAAGAAATTGAATGGAATGCCTACAACAGATTTCAGCTTTCTATTTTTCTTGAACTTAACCTACATTGAAGTATCCCAATAATTTATCTTCCATTCAAAGTTTCAAATATTCCCTTGTTCCATTATGAGTGAAACGTGCATTTTGTCTGTCATTTTATAAATTTATATACACAAGTTTTTGGATTCATAGGATTGTAGAAGAAAACCTTGAAAAACACTTTTTTTGCAGCTAATTGGGCAATGAGCCAATGAGAATGAGAAACAGTACATTACAGAACTAGGAATAGAAACTACTTTTTATTTAAAGAAAAAAAATAGGAATAGAAACTACTTGAGCAGTTGAGCACATGCCTATAGTCCCCTAATCATGATAAGATACTTCAGCCAATATAATGACAATCATATCTAGCACATGGTATTAAAATGTAAGAACAAAATCAATTACAGCAACCAAAATTCTTCTTTATTTGGATAAGAGCATGTAAGCCAAAAAGATAAAATCAAACCTTCAAGACACCCATTGCAAGCCCTTCTAAGTGCCTAAACCCAAGTATTCTTACTCGAACATCAATCCCTTCTCTATAAGACTTCTCAAGCTTATGGACGTCTTTATCAGCCACATCAGAAATCTGTAGAAATGAATCACCCTTGGCATCCAATGTATACATAGATAGCTTTTAGAAAGATAAGGAAAAAGAAATACATACAGTCACATATGCAGGTGTGGGAGCTGGAGACGAAGGGATTTCAAGCAAAAGGCCCCAATCTTTATCTACTCTGATTACTTTAGAGTGTTCATATATCTCTCCTGTCCTGACATGCTGCATATCAGATACAAAATTCAATAAACAAACTCATATAAAAAATGTTTATAAACATCATAACAAATCCTACACTGGTCCATTCCGAAAAGAATTCAACTCTGTAAATCTTGGCAAAGAAGATGCTATAAATTTCTACCTCTTGATATATGTATAAAATTCTGAAAACAATCACTCTAAATTTAACCAATTAGCAAAACTCAACGTTTTTTTTCATGCCAAACCTAGTACATTAGTGCAAAAGATTGAAAGCAGGCAAAAAGAAGCAAGTTACAAATGAAATTTCACAAAAACATTAAGAATGTAAGAGTTGGCCAACAAAATCATCAAACCCTCGTCCACGTAGTACAGGCTACATTGAGATGCCAATGCTAACTATTTACTTCATCTTCAGTAGTTATAGTGACTGTTAACACTGTTTAGCTTTCGGTTACAATATTTCAAATTTATCACAATGTCACTAACATCAACCTTAGTTTTGGGAAAAGCAGATCCATTTACTCCCAAATCCCTGTGTTAATAATTAATTTATTCCAGCTTACTTAGATAAAATCAACATAATTTAAAATTCCTGCATCTCTGAGCTTCAGATAACTGTCATTGGCTTTCACTCACAACAAGACCATTTTTGGCGGATGAATCTAACCCAAGAGTCATGAACAATGGCTAAAAATTGCTAGATATGAGATGGAAACAAAGATATAGAGACTCTGACTCCAGATCTGTAACTTTTAATCAAAAAGGTTGTATGTGTTTGGCTACCTCTCCCTCACTCATTAAACCACCAACACCACACCATAATACCAATACCTCCCTTGCTACCACCACAATCACCATCTTTACAATCCCCAAATCCCAGATGAAAGTCCTTGTTATTTCCTTGCTCTTGCTTATCTTGTCTCTCTCTCTCTCTCTCCCTCAACAAAGGATGAGTTTTAGCAGTATAGAAAAGGAAGAAAGTCAGAGAGATGTCACTGAATGACTGAGTGAGAGGGCAGTGGAAGAAATAAAAATAAATTGCTTGCTGCTGAGTGTTGAAAGGGTTAGAAGTTTGTCAAGTCAGCATAAGTTAGCTTGTGTTGTTCTGTTTGCACTGGACCATCTCACCAAACTTATGGTGAGCCCATCCAACACTTTTCCCATTTACAAGTATACTCCTGATCATTACATGTATCAGACTAATCGGAGCACTAGAACTACAGAAGTTTTTAGTCAAACAGCAAAAAAAAAGGCAGAACAACAATAGGCAAGGTCACATGCACTTTAATTATGATTAGTTATCTTACCAAGAATCCAGTAATTAGAGATATAGAATTTAAGAACTTGTTTGGAAACAAGCCAAACATTATATCGCAAATTCAAACGCTGAACAGCCAGATAGCATCCTACATTTGCATTAGCCTAAATTTTACACAATAACTACTTCAAAAGAAGCTACATAATGACTTACCGAAGGAGGAGCCTTGTTGAGAAGAAGATGAGGATTCATCGTCAACCCAACAGCCCGACTAGACGGATCAATGAAGAGGATTCGGGCATTAACCTGCATATATGGAGGATCCTTCGTTAATAAAATATTGGATTTATCAAATTAAACATAACATAAATAAAAATATAACCAATTCTTGAGACTGGAAGAGGTATACGTGAAACTGTATTTAAAAAAGTTCATTGGAAAAATCTTGCAATATACCACAAAGATTGCCTACATCAAGGTGGTAGGGGATGGCTATAGTACCGGTAGCACATCTAAAACTGAACATACAAACTTAAAAGTCATTTGGGATTTTTAACATGCATAGACAATTACTACTAGACAAATATCTATTATTTTGCAAATATGTACATGAGGCCTTAGAAGAGCTTGGTTAATCAAATTGTGTTCATGTATGATTCATGTGAAATTAAAAGTCAACTACAAAAAAAATGCCCAAGTGAATCAAAAAAAAAGGTAGGAGGTGAGTAGATTTTAAGAAACTGAAACAAAGAAAATAAAGCCAGAGGGCGCATAAAAGAAGCATATGAAAAACAAAATGGCTTTTAAGTCTTACCTTTTTGTTTTTCTCATATTGCTTTTTCCAGTTAGATGAAGGAAATGCATTCTGTAGGTGAAATATATCAACCTGTATAAGGAAAAGTAGGTTGCTTTAGACAAAAAATTAATACTTCAGTGAAGTTCTAAATGAAAGAGAATTGAAGATACATACAGTTCCAGTAAAATAAGTTAGAAATGATAACATGATCCCATTTTCAAGAGTAGACTGTATTCGAGCATCAACCATCATGCCAGGAACAAGAAGATCAAGTGAGATACCCTTAAGATCTTTCATCTGCAAACAAATTTCAAAACGAAAAATTGTCAAATAAAAAAGTCACAAAAGAAAATCCAATCTATTAGACAATAGGGAGCACCAAATCACAAGGTCTTACCACACATTTAGACACAATGTCTCTATCAGTAGACAGATAAAGTACTTTACGAACTTTATCAATTTTTTTAACTACTCCCTGCACAAGTTGCCCTGGAGTCAACTTGGCATCTGCAAAAAAAAAATCATAATTCATTATAGAAAGAAAACCAAGACAAGTCTTTCAGGCATCTGAAATAAATGAAGATTATGCCCTGAAAGAATAGCATAGGAAAGCACAAAGTCCTCTGCTTTTGTAATACTTCTTGGCAGTCTAAGTACTATATCCCCTTTTTTGCCCCCTAAGCCTTCTTAGTTCTTACACAGCTAACACTAACAAAAAAGAAAAATGAGAGACGGTTTTTATGAGGAATAAAAGAGTTGATTTAAGAAGAAAATAATATATAAAGGAGAAAATTTTGGGAGCATTGGAAACACTAAATTTGGCAAAAATCCTTAGTAACCCAAGACTATAATTGTCCTAATGTCCATGAAATGTATGAAAAAAATATCACTAGACCAACCTTCATTACTTTTCTTTGGAAAAAATCCAGTAAAAGAGGACACCCCAAAGTCGAGAATGTAACCATGATCTTCAATGCTTTTCACATTTGCGGTCAAAATCTGTTAACAATGATAAAAGTCAATAGTCACAAAAAATTAAGGATGGATAAGGTAACTGCATGGATAAAAACGACATCTCAAGTTCTCACATGACACAACTATTGGATACGCAGCACATGAAGTGACAACCAATTCGGACCAGGCTATGAGAAAATACATTTGGAACCAACCAGAAATAGAATAAATACATTAGTACATACACGAACCTTTATAAATAATGTATGCAATGGTCTCAAAACAATACCTCATAAAATAAATGCATTAAGCAACACTATGAGGCAATAGTTATACTAGCAGTGGCATTTGATTTTCAGCAGAGGATTGCATAGTTGGTTAAGGTCCTGTTGTCTTCACCGGACCTCTACCAAACTAAAATTCTTTTTCATGAATTTGATTTTACAGGTAGCAGTAAAATTATAGATAATAGTTAAGGTCCAGTTGCATAGTTGGACTGCACAATTATAGATATTTATGGTCAAACTAACACGTTATAGACCGCAGAAAAAAAAATATGGTGCAACTATTTAGTAAAGTGGAAAATATGATACAACAGGGACACTATCAAACTCATAAAAAATAGGTAATCAAGGTAATGCGTACCATCCCTTCTTGAACTGCATCCAAAGAGTAGCCCTTGTGCAATAAAGAAAGACGTGATGAAAGCCAAACCTTCTTCTTCCCTGTCTCTTTCTTATCATCATCATCCACTTGCAATACAACACATGACACGAGCTGGCCCACATGATATAGGCTAGCGAGGGAATGACCCTCTAAATCCTGGTGCAAACAAGAAAGCAAAAATACAACATAAGCAATTATATTGCCTCCCAACAGAGCAAGTCTGGGACAACTAAATAGACCAAAGAGATTCATATAGCCATACCTTGATACTATGTACTAAAGCCGACTCAACTGCTTCACTAGCTCGGACTAATCCACGTAAGCCACCAGGAAGGCTTACAGCAAGATCTTTCTCATTAACTTCTGCTACAACTCCGAATAACTTCATTCCCGGAGCAATGTTCTGTTTCATACAAATTAAATAGTAAAAATAAGTCCAAATTACGAAAACAAAAAATTACATAATGCCAATACACAAAGCTAAATCAAACCAATACCATAACATAAGAAATAACAATCGTTGCGATTAGAAAGATGAGGAAGTGAATAGTTTAAAAAAGAAGTTATGGTTCAAATAGCAACTCCTCCAAAAACAAGCCTTAGTCTCGTTATACGAAGCACGACATATTAAACCCTCCAAAATCTTGCCTTTTAGTTTCATTTCTTGCTCACTCACTCTTCTTCTTCTCTTCAGGTATTTTCACAAAAAACAATCTTTTTCATTTGCATTTCTTCAACACCTAATTTCACTAATTATGTAATCATCATTTTTTTTTCTTCGAACATTTGCAATTTCTTATCAATTCATCCTACTATACTTAATCAAAATCAATTAGGATTTCAGAAATGATTATTTTCTGATTACTGGGTTTAATCTTTCTAAATTTTGCAGAATTACTTGTGGAAACCGATGAATCAGAGCGAGCGGTACCTTTTCAGCTTCAATTCGACAAACCAGCATCTTCCCAGATTCTCTCTCTCTCCTACTGTTACTAATTTTTTTAAAGTTTTAATTTTTTTTGTTCTTCAATTTGATTATATTGTATTTTGATTAGTTATGAACATGTCAATACCATGTTATTGAATTTGGTCATCATCAATTACTTAAAAACAATTGGGAGGGAGTGGAACCTAACCACTCAAAACTGATCCCGAATCGGGATTAGCCCAAAGGGTGGAACACCAAAAAAAAAATCAATTACTTAAAAACAAACCTAAGAACAGCATACATTAATAAGTTAATAACATACCTGAAAAGTAATCTTATTTGCAAACCTAGGTAATTTTCCTGAAATCCCCTCACCAAAAAGCGAACCAAAATCATCGTCAATCGTAGTACGAACATTCTTCTTCTTCTTACTTTTCGTCCTCTTTGAATCCCTTAATTCTGTATCAAATTCTTCATCGACTTCAGCTTTAATCCCATCTCTTTCCTCTCGACTCAACCTACTTCCCCCTCCTAAACAATTATCCAACCAATTAAGATTAGATAAACAATTATTCAACAAATTAAGATTGAATTGATGAACAAATCAACGAAATAAACAATTAATTGAAGATAAATTAATCAAACCTCTTGGAAAATCGGGAACATCATCATCAAATTGAAGAGAAGGAGGTTTATCATCAGCAGATTTAACAGGTTTATTATGTTGACGTTGTTCTCCAGATTTTCTCTTGAGATTCCTCTTGATTAAAGGCGCCATTACTGTAGAAGTTTGAGGGGAGAGAGAGTGTATGAATTGAAGTGAAACAGAGAAAAAATGGCGTTTGAGAATAGAGGCCGAGAGCAACGAAAGAGGGGTTTGCAAGGGTTTTAGACACTGACGAGTGAAACTAACAGAATATTACGCCCATGACCCGACCCGCGAAAAGCGGGTACGTTACCCGCTTTTCGCGGGTCGGGTCATGAGTATCCAATTAAAAGCAAATTTTTTTTTAAAAAAAAAAAAAAAAAAACTAATAAGTGTTATGAAAAATTGTGTGGATATCAGATATCCTGTTTGTATATTTCCAAAATATTCTAGATAGTTCTAGAGTTTAAATTATTGCTTACACAAACTTTTAAAAAAATCGGGTGTACAATAATTATTGTACATCCATTTTAAATCTCTCTTAAAGTGATCAAAAGTTACCTCTAAAATGAATAAAAGTTACCCTAAGATGTATAAAAGTAACCCAATACAAATAAAAATAATCTACGTTTTATTGGTAAAGAATCACATTTTAAATAACTAAAATTCAATTATTAGTGATTGAAAGTAATTTTATCACCCTTATAAAACTTTTCTTGTTCAATTTATAAAAAAAAATCATATTATGTTCAAAGTTACCCAAAAAAAGGCAAAAAGTTATCCTAAATTGGCTTAAAGTTACCCCTATACTGCTCGATGTACACTAATATTAGTGTAAACCGGATGTATACAAAAGTTTTTGTTTAAACAAACCCTAATTATATTGTATATATATATACCTCATAAATTGCATAGATAAAGGCTTATCTATTCTGTCTCTAATTTCTCTGTTATTCCCTTTATTTTACAACACGTTAGCAACACCACTCTAGCCAATTGAGCATACAATACGAATACAAGAGCCCTGCACGTTTGATTATAGCCATATATCAAGGATAAACAAAGGTACGCATATACTCCATATTATGCATAATTATTAATCGATTTCCCTATATTGGTGTAGATATATAAATATGTATGCAAGTTGGATTAAATAAGTTATACTTCATAACAACCGATAATTTGTTTGAAAAATTTTGATGCACTATGATTCAATGTGCCTAACTTGTATTGGTTTTTTTTTTTCAGTGCTATAGTTTGTATTAATAAAGTCACTATTCGTTACAAGTTCTTTGCATAATTCTATTGTTTATTTGGATAGTTGAATTCATAAATCAATAGTTTTGGATAATCTCGCTTACTTTTGTAATTGATTAAATAAATGACATAATTATTGGCCTTATATTTTGCTGTCATAGGATTATTTGTTTTTAATCATTCATGGCTACTTTGCATCTTTATATATACTTTTACAATTTTATAAATTTGATTATATATTGATGATTATACCCGTGTCATATGCGTATATCATTGTATGTATTTACAATTCGCTGTTTGTTTATTTGATCACATACCTTTTATCGATCAACTCTTAATTATCTTTTGTGACTTAATTTATCAATATCAATCATATTTTTGCGTCATCAATTCTTTACGCCAATGGCTCGATAATATTACAAATTAAATCTTTTAATTTACTTATAATTTACTTATTGTTTGATTAATGATTTGTATGGTTATATCAATTACCCATGTGAATCGCTAAACATCGCCCGCAAATTACCATATAAAGCCCACAAATATGATTTGGTGTGACCATTATGCCCATTTTCTAAAATTGAAATAATCTCGGTTTAAAAAATGTGGAGCCGTACTGGCTCGCCGGGGGAGACCGGAGGGCAGGCCGGAGATGCGGGGGACGCCGGAGGTACGTCGTCGTCGACGGAAAACGAGGTAAGTCACCGTTAAAATTCACGGTTTACCGTCGAGTGGCTCCGGCGCCTAGGATGGACGCCCAAACCGTAGCCTGGACGTCCAAGCCAGACGCCAGAACCACCAGAGTGGCGTCCAACCCAGACGCCCAGACCACCAGACTGGCGTCCTGGCCAGACGCCACTCTACTGGCTGAGGCGGCCCTGCCAGGCGCCAGTCCAGTGGCTGTGGCAGCCCTGGCAGACGCCACCCTATAAATTAATTTTTTTTTTCTTTTTTGATTTTGTTGTTGTTTTTTATTTATTTTTTTTTAAAAAAAAAAATCGAAAATGATTTTTTAAAAAAATTCGAAATGGGTTTTTTTTAAAATTAATTTTGAAAATTCGAAATAGGTTTTTTTAAAATTAAGTTTGAAAATTCGAAATGGTATATTTTTAAATTTAGTTTGAAAATTCGAAATGGTATATTTTTAAATTTAGTTTGAAAATTCGAATTGGGTTTTTATAAAAATTAAGTTTGATTATATATAATTATGCTTTTTTTTTGTGTTAATTCTGTGTAAATATAGAAATTAAATGTATTATCCGTTAAATGTATTTATTGTAATATATAATTGATGCAGGAATATGGTGGAGACGGAAATGATTACAGTGGGATATTTGGACATGATGGTCCATTCGAAGAAGCTCAACAGGCGATTGATTGGGCAAAACAGGTTGCAATTGCAGCTGGATTTTGCTTGGTAGTAGTAACTCATAAATCTCAACGGGATGGTAGAATGGATCGCATTTTGAGATGTGACCGTTATCGCAAAAGAGAAGAAAGAGATTTTCGTACAGCCACTCGGTTTGATACAAAGCGGAAAGGTTGTGGGTGTGAGTTCAGAGTAAAGGTTCGACAACTACGGAGTCGTGACGGTTGGGAAGTGATTGGTTACTCTAAATGGGGGTATCACAACCATGAGATGATAGTATATGAAGAGGGTCATCGACAACTGAGCGACTTAAGTCCTGCTGCGAAACTAGTTGTGAAAGAAATGAGTGATGCTCAAGTCAAGCCTGCTAAAATATTAGCATCTGTGTTAGAGAAATTTCCAGAAGACCATCCAAACCGAAGACACATCTACAACGTCAGACAGCAACTCAGGTTTGAACGGTCAGAGGGAAGGAACCCTATACAGCAGCTGCTACACCAGGCACAATCACGTGGTTACCTGTTCTGGTTTGATTCTGATGAAGATACAGCGGAGGTGACTCATCTTTTCCTTGTGCATCCTGATTGTGCTGATATGATCAAGTCTTGGCCATTTGTGATTTTGATCGACTCAACGTACAAGACAAACAAGTACAAGTTCCCACTGGTTGAGATCATGGGGATGACTCCAACGAACCAGAACTTTCTGATTGGTCATGCAATCATCAAGGATGAGACGGCTCCAAGTTATTATTGGGTGTTGGAGAAGCTGAGAAACTACATCGGGCCTAATGTTCATCCAGCAGCCATCGTCAGCGACTGTGAGGGAGGTCTCTTTGCCCCCATAGCAGAGCTGTTTCCCAAATCGAACCACTTATTGTGCACATGGCACATCAACAACTGCGTGAAAGTGAAAGCCTACAACCTTTTCAAGAAGAATTTGGAAATGGCAGAGAGATTGGTGAATGGTAAGTGGCGGAAGATCCTACAGGCTACCACAGAGGAAGCGTATGAGCGAGCATTGGCTAACTTCAGGGATTCTTACCAGTGGTGTCCGGCACTGGTGGACTATGTGATGCAGCAATGGGTCCCTCACAGGGAAAAGTTTGTCAAATATTGGACAAACCAGGTACTTCATTTTGGGAACACTACAACATGTAGAGTTGAGAGCGCTCATAGAGCTACCAAGGACTGAATTGATTCATCGACCGCTGCTTTAGATACACTGTTCGATAGACTTAACAAGTCAATTGAAACTCAGAAGAACGACATCAGGAACTCTCTAGAGGACTCCAGACGACGACATGGTACGATGTATAACCATTTTATATTTAAGATTCTCCATGGTCGTGTGTCGCACTACTGCTTGGGGTTGATTCTCACTAAGCTGAACAGGATGAGGGACTTGGCTGACGAAGTGTATGCTCGGTGTGGGTGTGCTATTTCAGTAACTCATGGATTACCTTGCGCATGCACCATTATCCTTGTACCACGGTTCTCCCTTGGCGGTCGCGTGAGACTGTCACCACACCGGTCAGAGAGCTAGCTATTGCGTTTCTTGGGTCGTCATACAGACATTTCATCCGACTAGACATGTCATCCGATTTTCCAGTGCCACCGATTATACCTCGGTGGTACATCATTCGCACAGCGAGCGTAGAGGGTTGGGATGCGCTATATCTTTATATTATCAGTTTAAGCGTTGCAAAACAGATTAGCAAGTTTGTTACATGTAAAACAAGAGAATTTAATATCAAGATTCTCATTATTACCAAAATCTTGATATTTACCAAAGTAATCCTTGAATTTTAACTTATTTACTTTCTTTTATTTACAAATTAAACCCTTTATTTTCCTATAAATACCCCCCTAATTCTCAAGTTTTAAACACACCAAGAATTCTTACAACTTTTCTCTCTAAAAATTCTCTCTAGAAATTCTCCTCTAATCTTTGTTTTAGTTAAAATCTCTCTAATTTAGCTTTATTATTAAGTTATTAGCTTATTAAAAAGCAACTTATAATTAAGTTGCTATTTAAGTATTGTTATTATCTTTAATTCCTATAAAAAAAACACAAAAAAAAATTTCAAGTTCAAGTATTGTTGTTATTATCTTTGTTAAAAATATTAGTTTAATTTCTTAAGTATTCCTATTCTATCTTAAAACCAAAAAAAAAAGTTTATTTCTTAAGTTTAGCTTTATTTTTCAAGTTTATTTTCTCTAATAAAAAATAAAAAAAAAGAGTTCATTAGCTTCATTTTGCTTTAGTTTCTTTAATATATCAAAACTCCAAAAAAAATTACTTAGACTCTTTAATTTCATTTTAACTAAGGAGTGATCATATTTTCATCCTTGTTAAACCAAAGAGGTTATCCAAAAATTGCTACATCTAGCTCAAGGTATTTTCTTCAATCTTTTCTTAATTTCCTTAATTATTATTATTATGCTAACTAATATGTTTGTTTCCATGTGATGTTACCAATAGGGGAAATGATGATATAGGTGCTAAATTAGCCCTAAATTTTTCATTACTCCACATTAGAAAGCCAAGCCTATTGGTGAGGTGATAGGTTACAAAAGAGGGGGGTAATTGCATTTTGCATTGCATCTTTTTCTAATGCATTTT